GCACCAGTGAAGGATGTAACAACGTATTGTTTTCAAAATCATATACAGCAAGCACTGTTCTCATTTCAGAAAAAGGCCATCATTACCTAGAAAAATCTGAAATAGTTGCAAGTTTATGTATTTCCTGACCTCCTGTCAGATATGAAGCCAGCATCAGAGGCCCTACAACTTATGAAAATAAGAGTGATTTCGTCTTAAGCCAGGAATAACACTCTGATGACGGCACAAAGGGCTGACATTACATCTACCACATCGTTTGCCCAATCCCAGCTCAGGGCACTTTCTGAGACGGGAGATGGACACAGGTCCCAGAACTTCAGGGCCGACATGCAGGCTGGCTCTGGATATGGGCATTCCTGCCCAGCGAGAGGAGCTCCAGTGAAAGTGAGAGCTCCAGTCTAAAGGTTAATGAAAGGGAAATAGGCAAGGACCTGCAGTCCTGTTCTGCTCAGCCTCAAGCGAAACACTCCAAGGTCAAAAGGCATCTCTGCAGGTAAAAGTCAGCGACCATGGGATAAATGATTTTAGCTGTTGCTTTCCTGTGTATTTCCACAGCCAAGTTACAGCGTTTTTATTGTAGCAGCGGAAAGAAGGGTGATACGGCCCGGCTCGTCCAGGGGACATATTGTTTGCGACTGGAGCACATATTACAGTGACAGCCACATACATGAGTGACTGCGTTTCCCAACAGAAAGGGCAGTTGTTTGGGACCCAAAATTCACAAGAGAACCCATCTGATTGCGGGTCATTTTCTCTGTGTTGTGTTCCCAGACGGACATTGATTTTGGCAGCTTCTGCAGGAAGCCTGTGATGTTCTCCCAACGTGAGCCTCTGCCACGAGGAACCGGCTCCAAGACAAAGAATACAGTAGGACATTTAAGGTAAACACCAGACATGGGTCGCAGTTCTCGCTAGCTTGTGTTTTTAAGCAGCACATTCAACACATTTTGAAAACTACTTATCCCTGCCCTTCAGGATTAAAAAAAAACAAAACATTTTCTCATAACCTTTGAGATTGATGAGCAATAAATGCTTTTCCATAAGCTCTGGGGCTCTCAGTGAGCATTACTGTGAATCCATGTCAGACAGCCACAAAGTAAAATAATGGGTTTCAAAACGCACCCCCTCACCCCATCCAAATTTTTTTAATCGATCAGACAAAATTTACAAAATTTCTAAAGGGGGCCCCCACGATCAGTGAAATTTACTGAGGGGGCTCCCACAGCCCCTTGTTCGTTGTGAGGTTGTTACAAGTCGTGTGAATCAGTGGCCTGTGTGTTTCGGGACATGTCTGTTCAGTATGTGTATCTCTGCAGGTAAAAGTCACATTTTTACATTTTTCAGGTCCCCACAATATAACCCTCAATGTGATAACAATCTGTGAATGCAGTCAAAAACCAAAAATAGCCAATAGTGTTAGATTTTGTTTGGTTACTTAGGTTTTAAGTTAGGGCTGGGTGGGGGTTAAGGTTATCTAAGTTAGGGTTAGGGTTATGGTCGTAGATATGAATAAAGAATCACCACAATGATAGAAATATATGAATTGGGCATGTGTGTTTGTGTGTGCGTGGGTGTGAACATTAAACATGGCAATTCTACTGGTAGTTCTTATTTTGCATGCAGTTCTGCTTGAAAAATGACTGCAAATAACGGCAATATAGTCAGAAAAAATATTTTTTTTATGCATGACTTTTAACAGTGTAGTTAGTCTTTTAAATCTATGTTTCCCAGTCGAGTCCTTGGGGACCCACAGCCAGTCCCTGTTTTTGCTCCCTCTGAGCTCCCTGCCAGACAGTCCATTTTTTTGCTCCCTCTTAAAACCCTAGGAACTGGGAAGGAGCAAAAACGTGAACTGTCTGTAGGTCCCTGAGGACCAGAATGGGAAACACTATTTAAAATAAATACAGCACCTGCAAAACCTGAACAAAACATACAACCAAAGTGATTTATAGCAGGAAGGCGTGTTAGTGTGACCACACTGTGAAAGTCTGAGAACATGCTTATAATACGAAATGACTTCTGCTGTGCAGATGTGTGTTAAAGTACCTTCCAGCACAGACTGTTATTGTATCAGCAACTTTTAAAATCCTTTAATGTGATCCTATAAACTTTGTTTCTTATGAGACACCTTATGATTCCTTTTCCTGGTGAGGTACAGAAGGGTTCAGTTTGGAACTGGTGTTTCATATCAGACTCCGCATGTATGTATATCTGCTGGGTCAGGGTTACCCAATTTGGGTCCTCATACCTGTTGAACATGACAATTATCTGGTGAGCTGAATAAGGTATGTTTGAGCAGGGAAATCTGCAAACTGTGTTGTAGACTGGCCCTCCAGGACGAGGATTTGGGAACCCTCTGCTAGGTGATCGCACACTCTCACGCTTCAAGATAGTTTCACATGTTTTGACTTCAGTAGACCACAGCAAGAAGGCGCCATCCAGATGTTCATCACATGATGTTTCGTAGATTCCGTGTCCAATCGGCAATGGACATCTCGGCATAAATGGGCTGATAATGACATCATCTGTGAGGTAATTTATGGATCTGGCCAATTCTCTTTGCCTGCCCCTAGTGTAAAATGACACGCATGTAGGTGAGAACAAGCTTTGCAGTGAAGGTCAGCCGCCTGCTCTGGCACCCATGGAGCTGATCAAGGACCCATGGACATGCAACTACTCTGCTGATGTCCGTCTTAAACTGGTGTTCTCCAGGGCATTAGCACAAAGGCTTAGCCCAATGAGCCACAGCACCCCATCTGCACTACGCCTCCTTCGTGAAGTTTCGCAGAGCAGAAATATCGCTGGGATCCATGGAGACATCTTAGCTTCTCCTAGTAGAATGTTGTGTATCATGGTATGACATAATATTCAAAGCTACATTTGTCAGATTAAAAACAAACTAGTGACCTGACGACTGCCGACCAGAGGGGGTGCTGTTTCCCCATAAGTTCTGTGGTTTGGTGTTGGGTATGTTGGACATGCATGACGAGGGGTTTCCCTCAGCTCAGCTATCTCATTCAGGAGCACCTCAGGTCGTATGCATGGCGTTCACATGGCGTGGCCTAATTAATTCCTAAATTTAGCGATATGCCAGACAGATGGTAAGACTAAGCGGGGACATGATCCAGGTATATAAGACTCTAACAGGTCTGAATGCTGTTCAACGAAATAGTTACTTCAATATTAGTTCAAATAAAAGAACTCGTGGCCATAGGTGGAAATTAGCGGGAGAACATTTTAAATTGTATTTGAGGAAGCACTTCTTTACACAGCATGTAGTTAGAGTATGGAATAATCTTCCTGTTAGTCTAGTGCAAGTTAAAACCTGGGGTTCCTTTAAATCTGAGCTAGACAAGACTTTAACAACTCTGAGCTATTAGTTGAATCCTCCCCAAATGAGCTTGAATGGCCCCCTGTTGTGTGTAAATTTCTAATGTTCTTACGTTTTACTCAGAAAAGCCTGACATACTACTTTATCTGCTGCTTCTGTGGGACATTTTTAAACGAAGCAATTTGGGTTAAGCAGGTTATCCATGAGTACAGCTACAGCGCTCCTGCTGGGAGCTGGACTGGAAACCCCTTAGTCCAGTTCCATGATGACAGCACATGCCGGTCTCCTAACTGGCCCCAGTGTGGCCTTGGCCTGACTCCAGGCCTCTATCACAGCTGGCTGTCTGCAGAAGGAGTTGCTAAGTCTGTCCAATAGATCAAAACATTTATGGCATCAGATTTCCTCTGAATTCTCACATAGTTTCCATGTTCCAAATTTTTGAAGCTGCAAAAGCTGTCAGCAGAGAGAGAGAACATCAGCTTGGTTTCAGGGGTCAGCGGTTTCACAGGAGCATGCTGGATGAAGGCTCTCCGCATTCATCAGCTCAAGTTGTTTGTGTTGACACAGACTGGCATAGTTAAACTCTACAGGCATATACAGTACAGAAAATTAACAAAGACATATAAAGTTACACATATAACGTTCAAAATAAGGAGACATGAGTAAATGACAGATTCAAGGTTTATTAACATCTGCTGTTGCCGCAAAGATGTGTAAGGTTAAGTAAGGTTTGTCCCGTCATGCTCAAGGTCATCTATAGAAATCCTAGTCAGCCAGAGATTGAGGACATCTCAGAAACTTCAGGAGAGTGAGCATTTTTGGGAATTCTTGGTAAGGTCTTGATGGATGAAGATAGATCAGCTTTCCCATATTCCATGAGGATTACCGGCTAAAGTGGTATTTGCTTGGAGAACTGACATCAACTTGAGGAAACCCTGAGTAAAAATCCTCCCCTGGGATAATCGTGCATTAGCTGCTTTGTGAAGCAGACGACAGGCTCTGCTTAAGCTGAATTGTACCACACGGGGCGTGAGACGGCACTTTGAATCGCGATCGGCGAGACTCCAGACCTTCTCATGAGGGTGTGGTGCCACACCTTCCAGGACTGAGGTACATTTGGAATCAAGTTATGGTTCACTGTAGCTGTTCTGGCAGCTTGTGGTGACCCAACATCCTGTGCTGATGCTCAGTTCCTTCTGGTAATTTCCAGTGTATTTGCAGACTAATACGAGCTTCTTATCGTCAATAATTCAATATCCAGTAAGTTCCTGTGTAATAAAACTAATTGAAAAGAAAAACTGTGTATGGAAAGTATTCCAGTATCATAAAAACATGCTGTATAGAGCAGTGTTTGCAGTATAGAGCAGTGTTTCCCAACTTGGTCCTCAGGGACCCCTTGAAAGTCTTTTGCAAGTTTTTGCTCCCTCCCAGACAGTCCACATTTTTGCTCCCTCCCAGATCCATACCAGGAGCTGGGAAGGAGCAAAAACATTGAATGTCTGGGGGTCCCTGAGGACCGGGTTAGGAAACACTGGTACAGAGTTACCCAAGCTGGTCAAGGTGCATCTTTCTGACCAGCAGGGGGGGTGGTTTTTCACTTACCAATGTGTCAGGATCAAGGAGTAAGAGTTTGTTTTACTTTATTTAAACAATACAAAATACAACAAAAGGCACAGGTAAAAACCATAAATACAAAAAGGCAATTAAATACCAACATTCAGTGCTAATAAAATAATAACAATGTTCATTAACTTCTGCATTTATACAAAGAATTCAGCCTTAATTTAATAATTTCTTCAGCTACAAATAAGGAATTTGGGGTAGAAAAATTAAGCTTTCGCTACAAGTTTCAAAGCTATATTTCTCACATTTTCATGGCCACCTGGTATAAATTGACTATGTTATACTTTTAAATATGCACTTTTTTAAACCAGAAGTTGTAAATTGTGTATTCAGACAAATAACAGCGTAAATTGGATTATGGTTCACGTTTGTCAAAATCGATTAGCTTTAGTGTAATAACACCATCCAAACTCCAAAATACCTAAAATTACTTTTGTAGGTTACAGTGGTACTGTAAAATAGCTACTGCTGATGGTGCGAATAGCACTTTACCACATTATCCTCTTTCAGATTTTTTTTTGGGGGGGGGGCTGGGAGTGGGTGGGTTATACAGTAGTATATATTTAGGACATGTACAATAGACATAATGCAGAAATTCATCGGGGTACAAATGTAGTGTGTCTCCATAATTTAGTGAAATAACTGAATACTAATATTATAAGAACATAAATACTTTATACATTATATTTGACAGAATCATATAAGTACAGAGATTTAGAATGGGTTTGTAGTATGTGGAAGTAATCGTCCTTCATACGTCTGTCTGATTTTACACGTAACCTCTGGTAGGTAGGAAACGTACCAGGTCATACTGGCTAAAAGATACCTGTTGAAAAATGTTCAGGTAAGAGTAACACTTACCGCTAAGTTAAAAAAAAAAAAGGTTCAGGTAACTTACTGCCAAGTTACAGAGCAGTAAAACAGTACAAACTGCAAAGTCACTCATGAAACAGGACCCTGTGCAGTACCTGGGTCCCGTGCCTGTGTGCAGCACCAGGACAGAAGGACTCTCTCTCTGACTTTCAGATCTGCTCCCTGTCCGCTCCTTCTATTGCATTGAAGTGAAGCACCAATGGTGAAACAGAACCGGCATCTGTAAAGCCTCCTAAGTAGCACCATGCAGAAAATATTAGTGGCTATTCCAGAGGAGTCGGCCTGCTGCGCCCTGACCAGCGTCCCCCTGCAGGGGCGAGTTCAACTCAGGACAAGGCCCAGAAGCCGAGGGGGCAGGGGCTGGCACCATGGCACCTTGGCACCTTGCCTCGACACTCCCCGTTACAGTCTACTAGGGATTTAACAAAATGTAGGTTGAAGGTCCTTATTATTCATTTCACAACTGAGCTTAGCAAGCGGTGGCCATTATTCTGAAGCATTTGTGAAGCTCAAATTTCAGTAAAAAAAAAGGTATTTAAACTATTAAAACGTCCAATAGCTTATAACACCATAATACTGTAAAACAAAACCAGTTTGGTAACAGCACCATGTTGAGGATGATTCAAGATAAATAACCTTTTCCACCAGTCTGTACCCTGGGACACAAGACGATCAAAACACATTACATATGCCTAATAAAAATGATACATTTTATACACAAAAACAGCATAGTGAAATTCTATTGCTGTTGTCCAAAATATAATTTCAAAATTGTAGGCATATTTTAAATAAGGCCAATATATACAAATTAGAGCGATGCAGGAATGCTGTGCAAATCCTTGGACGTTTGCCTTCTAGAGAAGGTGTTGGCTGGCGCGCTGTGAGGTGTGTTTACTTGAACCAGTGCAGGTAGTTTGTGCTGACAGCAGGGAAGCACATGTTGTTGCTGCAGGAGCCCCCATAGCTTGGGGGGCAGGCCGAACACGGGACCCCTACTTTGTAAGGAGCTTCACCAATCCAGTTCCCCCTGGAACACAGACAAAGCAAATGATATGAAATGTTATGTACAAGTACAGGCACAGTTTACTCTACAAAGAGCAAGTTGAGGGAGGCTTAAAAAAGACAATTTCCCCAAGGGAATCAATAAAAATATCAATTATTATTGAGATGCTTCTTTTCACATATCCCATCATGCTCTCCTTTGAAACACACACATACAGGTGAGAGTGAAGCTTGGAATTTGAGCACTGGGTCAGCCATCTATCCAGAACCCCTAGAGCAATAGTGTGTTAAGGGCCTCACTCAAGTGCCCAATGGCGGCATCAGTCTGCCAACCCTGGGATTCAAACCTCCAACCTTCTTAACCTGCTGAGCCACACAACACCCAGACAAACACTGGGCATCATCAGTTCATGGGAGTTTCACTTACACAAAAATGATATGAGGGTAGAAGGAAAAACATTCAGAGAGGTAACCAATCAGATTGTAGTGGAGGGGGGACAAACCAATCAGAAGTCTTGGTCTTCTCTCCTCTAGTTGCTTGGACCCACCTTCTCTATAATCTGATTGGTTATCTCTTTGAACCAATCATTTTTCCTTCTGCCCTCAGAGCATTTTTGTTTAAAACTTCCATGAGCACATCATCAGACAGCCCTGGTTTTACGAATATAATAAGTAATAATCTGTTTGTAGGGTTGATATGGACCCATTAGGGATCAATTTGCCGACTATGGAAGATTTGAGGACAGCATACAAGCTAATTCTACTACTTATTGTCAGCATAAATAGCATATAATAAATAAAAAATCCTATTTATAACACTTTAAATAAATAAGCACCTGAAAACTTGGTAATGGTCTCGGCAGACAGGCAGAGTATAAATGAGTCAGAGCCTGCTGTCCCATGTCACCCAGTGACCCCTAATCAAGGTCAGTCATGCAGCCCTGTACTTACTTGGGTGAATAGTTGCAGACTAAGTATGTTGCCCGCTTCCACACGGATCCCCAGACGTTCATGTTGTGGCATGTATGAATCGCACAACCAACTCGGTTCGACGTGGCCCATACCATCTGCAGCGAAGGAGAGGGTGGTCATTCGCAGTCATCGAACCTCCCCATGCCTCATTACAGAGGGGCGTGGCCGGCAGCTCACCTGTGTGTAATGCGTACACATGGGCCCATAACACTTCAGGGGACACCGGGGGTTGCAGTCCCGTGGGTACGGAAAGGCGTAGTCCTTTACCTCGTCATACCAAGGCTTGACAAGCTGAAGAATAGATCGGTAGCTGAGGATAGCAAGGTCATTTAATGATGAGTGTTACTGGGCCAGTTAGAGAGAAAGGCACCAAAATTAGATGCTTTCATGTTATTCAGTGCAGTGAAGAGAATTTATTTTTTTTATAAAATTAGCATGTCTGTGATCCTAGCAGAAATAGACCAGAGGAGTGGGAGAATGGGTGGATGAATGAATGTATGAATGGATGAATGAATGAATGAATTTCCCAATGTGGGGATACAGCCAGTATTTATCAGAATCAAGCCATTCCCAGTGAGCTTTTACCCATTGTCTATAGGATGAGACACTTCTGACGTGAGAGGGGGAAATACTTCAGAAACCAAGATGCAGATTGTTTATTCCTGCCATGTAATATCACTCTTGTTGGGGTGAAGGTACCATTTGAAGTTATAAAAGGTTCACGCACCGGCCAGTTCTGACGGAAAGGTTTTGCCCCAGGAATCGCAGCAGATACTGTGGGCCGTGTTCCCAGAGGCAAGCCGATGCCCACGCCTCTGCTGACTTGGCCAAACTTTCGTCCCACACCTGAAAATGTTACAGTCGGCAAACATTAACTGTTTATTTATATGTAGCCACTCTCCTGCTTCAGCATGTCAGGAAAGCATGAGTTTGACATAATACATAATAACAATCTTAATGTTCTGTACAGCAGTGTGCTTCAGTAAATTAACTTTTTATACATTTTGACAGATCTGCTCCCTCCCTCAAGAAGCACGTGAGCAAGGAATCAGGCACAAAGCCCCAGGTTAACTCCTCAGAACACAAGAAAAGGGTCTATTGTGTGCTGTGCAATTGGGTACATCTGTTGTGAATTTGAGAAAAATCACATAATCTCTAACAAACCTGCCCTCATTCTGCCAAGAACCAAACAAACACTGAAGAAATTAGGTTATTCATGCTCATCCATCCATCCATCCAGATCCAGGTTTACAAGTGTGCCTAAGGATGCAGACTCAAATTAAAAATGTGCAACCTCAGGTGGTAGTTAATCAATCCACCACCGTTGGGCTGGGGGGGGGGATGTTTAATAATTTCAGATGCACTTGCATGAACAAACCCAGCAATGCATACATCCATCCATCCACCCATCCATTTTCCAAACCGCTGTTCAATGTCAGGGTCACAGTTGTTTCCAGTTGTTGAGCATAAAATACGGAGCTGACAACATTCAGTAAAGCGTTTGTATAAACCAGTACTGAGTCATGTTAGGCTACACCTTATTTGTTATCTTTTAATTAGCTTGGAAAACAAAGTATCAAAAAAAAACTAAGATGAAATCCAGGATGTGAACTTTTTTATTAAGTCATAAGAATCTATTCTGGATAACAGGAGATATTGTGTTTAGTAATTATGAGTATGTTCAAAAACTCACTGTTTTCACAATCTGAATAGAAACTAAAAGTAAAATGCCACAACCCATTGGCCAATCTTCAGCTTCCTAGCCGCCCTCTCTGGGCGCTCCGTCCGAATGATAAACTCAGGTGCACCATGCAGGGGAACTGCCCGTGCCTCGGTCATTATTAAGTCATTTATTAGAGGCGGCGAAGGCCGTCAGTTGCAGTCATGATTATGGGACTATCACTGTAGACGGTGAGTCGCAGGAACTTTTTCTAATTTAGATCATCAAACCCTACCGCCAAGCCCGACTTCTTACACATGCGGCTCCCCCGAGTACAACAAAATAGATTAACTGAGACAAATTGCATAACTCAATATTTTTAATCCCCGTGTATATCGATGAGCGTTAAGCTTTAACCATGAAACAATGTCCTAATTGTATCTGCCGAATATGCGTGGCCTGCTATTCATCATCTGATTTATGCAAAGGCACCAGACAAACCCGTCAGGAGTTAATAATGGGGGGTTGGCCGCAGCCTTGCGTCCTCGATGACCCGCGAAGAAGCGCCACCTCCGCGTTTGCTCATCTATCCTGGTGGTCTGCACCAATTGAAGCCGCTTCCCAGCTGGCAGTTCCGGTGGTTTCCAGGAGTTTGGTGGTCACTCTGACCGCGTTGCACATCATGCACCCTGCCGCCCGTGCAACAATAAGAAAAACTCCGCGTTCCTACTACTTTGCATTGCTATCCTATATCGACACTCTCGATTTTCCATTTTAACTGATATTTGCACACGTCCCATAGGGTTCTGTTCTCGGGATCAGTAGTTAATAAATATAAGTGCAGAAGCCTTACCATGTATTCCATGTTTGAGGCCGGCGGGAAGACGTTTCCTCGCACTTTATTGTGGTAGTCTAAGATAGTGATCATGTCGTTTTGTGAGATGTAGCGTCTCCGCCGCGTCCTGCGAGTCCCTGGCGGCTCGGTGCCGATGCTCAGCGCAGAACCGGCACCGGTCCCGTTGCCCGCCAGCGATAAGGAGACGCTGGCGGGACTGTCTCCCAGCAGCGCACCGGCTCCATAGGCGCCGGAGAGAAAGAGAAAAACCGCGCACAAGCCGCATCCGTTCATCCTGGTTTATACTGACGCTCCGGGGTGTCCCAGCTGAACAGTTAACTGGAAAGAAGGGGGAGAAAAGGGAGAAAATCATGAAGTTGTTCATCCTTCTCCCTATTTGATTACAGTGGCGTCAGTCAGGGGAGCCTATTGGTTTATCTGCGGTGCACTTTTAATTAGCATGAGAATAAAATGCCGTTTTTTTACGCCACAAAATTTGAATTCGTGTTTCCTCTTTAGAGACCCAATTAAAATACACAAATTTGTATTATACAAATGAATAATAATAATAATTACCTTCTGCTCTGACTCTCAATGACTTCGCCCAGTTTGCGTGTGTTTTCTCAGATGCGGCTGTTCAGTAACCCCGCAGCAGATGCTGGGCTGCCGCTGCACTTGTCCCGTTTATATATGGCTGGCCCCCCGGCTCAGGAAGGTGCGCACAATCCCTCCCTGTCACCTGAAACAAAACATCGTTTGGAAACGAGTGCTGACACACAACATTTTTAATCAAAACATCTGCTATTGGTTTGCACAGCTGGAAAAAATAAAATGATAAAAAAGTTTATAATGTGAGTAGTCTGCTTTCCTTACTGGTCACTGTCAACGTGCTTTGGATATATTAAACATTCATTATATAGTCTACTTTTTAAATTTACAAATAAAATAAATGTTTACCAAGACATTTTCTCTTATTTTGAGATATAATCATATTACCTCGATAATTAACTTTCTTTAATTATTAGTTAATAATCATATAATATAATGTTTTTGAACTTTTTGAGCCTTTGAACAGTGCCCTTATATAGCGCGAGGGCTCTGTCGTACGTAAAGCGCATTAAAACGACACGAAAACTTTAATGACGCTGATATCGTGAGATGCTTGACGTCATAGCTATCCAGTATTGCGGTATTATTTACGAAGCTTCACGCTTGTGAAACGCACCGCTGCATGATCCAGACAGTAAATTCGTCAGAACGCAGATAAATACCCCGTTGAAATCCTGCAGTTTAGCCGGGTTACGCTGGGGTTCCCTTTCCTATTTGTTTTCCCTGTCATATTCATTATACTGTAAAGATTACACTTGTTCGGTGTCTCGATCCAGCACCATTATCTGCCAAGAGCCTCCTTTGCCAAGTGAAAAAAAAATCTACGTTAGCAGGTCATAATTTTCTTTGGCAGCTGCAGAGCAGCTTCAAGCAACCTGACGCAGGGATGACTTTTCTGCGTCTCTGTGCAGAAACATTCTTAATACCTCTTTTCTTGGAAATGATCAGTTCAGTTCAGAGGAGGTTGAGTTGTAAATGATTACGGTTTTCTACCTCTGCGGTTTAAGGTATCGCTTCGTTTATACGAAGAAATGAGAATTTATTTTACGCTTGACATTTTATCCCCATGAATTGCGTGTTGTCGAGGAAAAGGAACGATCCGCGTATATAATATATAAATGATTATATCAGTGATTTATACTTAAAGGTATCAGCTTAGGAATATAAAGGTAAGATGAGATAGGTAAAGATTAAAACGAGATAACTTCATTCATACATTATTCTAACGTTTCTAATAAGGAAGCTTAACCCCACTTTGAAACGTTACCGTCATCCATGACAGGAAGCTTAATCGCTCAGTTTGGTTTCTGCTGTAGATTAGATGTTATTTGAGATGGTGCCCCCTCCAACGTACAGTAAATGAATGAACTGAGGCTCTCCTCCATGTATCAGGCTTAGATGTGAATCATCGGACCATCGCGATCTGCCGCCTCGCCATCCAAACCGCCTCCAGCTTTACGCAATCCCCCCCCCCTCACACCGTCCACTGACAGATGTATACATACGATTATTTCGCTATTTTTAAACTGAACGTGCCAGATTTGTGTTCGTCATCAGCCTCCGTTTGATTTTTTGGGGTGGATTCAGGAGTCATGCGCTGCATTAATGTGACAGTTACTTCCCTACAATGAATTAATGTGAGAGTCACGTCCCCACGATGACAGATTACAGTATGTGCTTAATATCTCTCTGGGCCAGGGTCTACTCTTTGCAAACCCATTATACTCACTGCTGAGAGAGTTCCCATCTTGGGTCATCTAAATCCCACTCCAACACTTTCTGAGGCTACTCTCTCTCTCTCTCTCTCTCTCTCTCTCTCTCTCTCTCTCTCTCTCTCACGCACACACACACACACACACACACACCTCCCCAGAGCTGTTCTAGGAACTGATCATTTCCTTCTAGAGAGCACATGTACACAGACACACGTGTCAGTGCTGATTCAATTAGGACACAAAGAAAAGACTTCCATGAATATTGTACCCGGTATGCTTTTTAGTAACTCGATAAAGGATGCAGTGAGTTCCCTGGTTACTGCATGCCTTAGGTTATGCGACAGGCATTTATGATTATTATACAGTACAGATGTCGATTCTTGGAGAACTGTAACTGGCAGGTTTATTTTTCTTTGTGGCAAAAAAAGGCAAGCGGGTTGATTTTATGAGCTTAAACCATCATCAGCGGCAAGGCTGTCATATTATCAGATGAGTAATTAGCGCTGCGACTTGAGAAAGCAGGCATGAGGAGCTGTGTGCTTTGGAACGCCGTCCCCTTTCAAACAGAACATTTATTTACGTGTGGATCGTTGCTCCAAGTTTCCCTTTGCTCTCCCCCTGCACGGCCCCTCGGAAGCCGGGCCCCTCGGAAGCCGGGCCCCTCGCTTAGGCGCAGCAGAAACGGCGCATCGGGAGATCCGGTGGCGTTCCGGGTGGGGGCCGGCCTTGCAGCTGCGAGCTCCACCTCAAGCTGCTCCTCCGGACCCACTGGCCCCGACAGCTGGAGGAGAACCACTTATACAGTCACCGCTTCCAGAACTGGGGGGGGGGGG